AGCAAATCAAAAAATTCCTTTGAATTTGTGGGATTATATACTTTTGATAGATCTGCATTAAAATTACCAAGGAGAATCACTAAAGAGTTTTTTGGTGAGTATCATTTATAAAATCTAATATCTTCTTATAGATTTTGTGATGTAGTTGATGTTCGAATTAAAACATAAACATTTATAATATGAAGTTTAGTTTTATTTTTAAATTAAAAATTGAGCGAATAGATGCGATAATAAAAGGATATGTAGTGAAATACGTGATCAGCCAAGTGTCTTTTTATGAGAAAACTAACTCTAAAGCCTATGCTTTATGATGAGAGATCTGTATTAAAAAAAGGGACAAATTTTTTAATACAAACAGGTTTTAAGGAGTATATATAAGATGGATTTTTGAAGTTCGTTTTTTGTAGAGTGATAATATTTAAGTTATGAAAGGTGTAAAGATTAAAAAGGATTTGTTGTTTGTGTAGTAAGATAAAAGAACAAGTATTGTGGATGATAATATTAAGGGTGAGAAACACTGTTTTTGTATTATATGATTGTAAGATCATGATTATTTTAAATGCTGGTGATAGCTCAGAAAGCAACATTGAATTTTTCAACATTAACTTTATGATGAGCTTGCAATTCCTTATTTTCTTTGTATAGTAAAACAATTTTTTCATTTTCAGTCACTTTGGAGTTTGAGGTGTTCACTTTAGATTTATATACAATATCAGTATTTATAGTATCTTCTGCTTTATTAGTATCATTGAGTTCTGTGGCTTTTTTTAGGGTGAGAGTAAAAATGTTGAGGTATTTTTCTACTTCATAGAAATGGTGTATTAAGAAGGTAAGGTTATTATGAAGTGTGGCCAATATTGCAGTAATGGCATCTAACTTGTTTAAAATCCTTTGTGTATTGGTCAATTTGTGCGTGAGTGTTTTGGTCAATCTGTACTGAGCATTCTCCTCTTCCATATGTTCGGATTATGATTTACGAATATAGATCAATTTGTTAAGGGATAATTGTTTAGGTTTTGTGTTGTTATTGAAATGAATTGAATTAGAGGTGACTATAGATTTAACATCTTTAGTCTTATTTGCAAATGATCTTGGATTATTGGGATTGAACATTGTGTTTTAGTTATATACAAAGGTAACTTTAGGACGTGATGCAGATGCTGAATAGTTTTAAATTATATTTGTTTGAATTTTTGATACAAGTTTTAAGTTTATATCTTTGGGTTGGGTCTTCTTTTTCTGTAGTTACGTGAGTCATATTCTGGAATGAAACAGTATACACATAAATTGGTGTCTGATGTAGTCCAGATAAGTTTTTAATTGTCAAAATTGATCAGATCTCCATTTTTTACAACTTTCATATCCTCTTTATTGCAGAAGTATATAAAGGCATATTGAAGGTTCTAGTAGTTTGATCTGACTTTGGGATTACTCAAGTGACTGCTTTCATAGTTTTTTTAATTAGTTCTAATTCTCAGCCTGTTGTGTCTTTTGGAAGATTGGTAAGTTTCAAGGTAAATTAAGATCTAGCTCTAATTTTATTATTAGTAAGAGAGCACACATGTACTCTAATCATATCTTTTAAAATGAAGAGGCCTGTGTGAGTATCAAAAAATGATAAATCTACCTCAAGCACATATGAGATGGTTGCTTATTGCCAAAGGTTTTTCATCATTATAGAGCATTTAATGATCGTATTGAATCAGGTAAATGTTGATTGGATGATCTGTTTAGAAGTGAAAATGGAAATCTCGGTTACCTTGATCAATAAACTCAGGTCAAACTTAAATGGAGTAGGTATAACAAGGGTTTAAATGTGACCATTTTCATATTAGGAATTTTAGCAGTAATTGCATAGTTTGCATCCTCATGTATTATAAATCCTAATCAGATAATTTTCAACATTTTGTTTTCAAGATCTTGCTTTACTAACTTATTAATGAACGATAGGTATTCTACACTATTGAATAATTCACAAGCTTTGTTGATTTTTTTGCAAAAGAATTTATTAGAAAGGAAGATTTTTGCGATACAATAAACATAAAAGGTAGTCATATCTCTAACTCTTTTAAAGGTAATAGTATTTTTGTTAGTGTCTTTATTGTTTAACATATTTTCAGACGCATTAAATGCCTAGTCTTTGTCTATAGCGTTATTGTTGTCGGAGGCTATCATTTCACTATCCTTTGGTTTTTGGTTAGATAGAGGACTGGTAGAGGTTTTTTGTATATTTTTATAATCAGAGAACTAAGAGCTTTTGCCATATTCGAAAGGTTGTTTTGCTTCAGCTAGAACTGCTGTAACTTGTTGGTTAATGCTCATATCACCAGCTAATAAAATATTGGTAGTAGATATAACTTTGAGAATCTAGCAAAAGTTTCGTCTGTTTAAATAGACTTGATAGTCATAGTCTTTTTCTGTGGGGTTCTTCTTTATTTTTTGTAAGTGAGTTAGGGTAGTTTCGCAAGTTGTGGTTGTTTTTTGTGAAAATTTTTGATTTTTTTTTTTCTCATTTTTTGTAATTTTGGAAAAAGAGGAAAAGTTTCTTTGATGTCAATATGCAGGAATGATTTTTTTTTTTATTTTTATTAAGTGCGACAGTCTCGCATAATCTTTATTAATATTTATGAATTTACAAGAAAAACAAAATAAAATAGAAAATATAAAAATATCTATAAACTAATCTAGCAAACTAAACTACTTTATCAATATCAAATTTGCACTTTACTGAACTAAACTATATATAAAAACAGAAAAGAAAACTAATCTAAACTAAAATACAGATATCAAATATCTGAAAGGAAGGGCGTGATTACTGCCAGACCAGAAATTTGACCAGTAAGTACCATAGGCAATTACCACTGCAAAGGAGGATGAGTTGATTAGGAATATCTGTGTAGATTGTGAGAAACCAGAGAATACCCAAGCTACTGTGAAATCATCTTTTATATTATTAGAAGTCTTCCATAATTGTAATGATTCACATCTTTCCAATCATATATTATAAACTGAGAAGAATATATCATCAAATAAGAATGATAATAGGCCAAAAGTGAGTTGTTTGTTGTTTGTAATATTATTAATTAATTAAGTGAAAGATGAAGGAATTATTCCTTTTAATAAATCTATGAAATATAAATTATTATTGATTGAGCTACAATCTCATATTGGAGATTGATTCACATACAAAATAGGTGACATTGTTAGGTCTATTGAGATCTTTTAAGTGAGATATGAATGATTGTTTGTGTTTTTGTATAATGTCTGAAAGGGATGTAGTGTTATTAGGATAATTCCAAATGTGATCAAAATTTTCAGTTGACGAAGAGCAACGGAAACAGATGTTCGAGATATAGGTCTGAAAGTATTGAGTATTCATTATAGCCAAAGTGGGAAGTAGTTGTAAAAGTACTTTTAGTTTAAATTGTTTTCTTTTACAGGTATCAAATGATGTAACCCTAGCATTTTCTGAGTCATTAAGAATGTAAAATAATGTTTGCCAATCAATGTGGAAGTTATTATATTTAGCAAGATATAGGAAGGCCAGAAAAGCATCTGCCTAAGAAGCTTATTGTAAGTGTTTAGTAAATAGGCAAGGTGGAGTAATTATAGGTGTGTTGTTATGACATAAAATATATTTTGGTTCTAAACGATTTATATTAATGTGTAAAGGAGCACTAGTAACTTGTTTTATTAAGAGATTTACTTGATTGTTGAATTAGTCATTTTCATAAGCTTTGACTTTAGTGAATATAAGTTTAATATTATCAATCAGCAGAAATGTCATATCAGTTGTCAATCATTAATTAAATGATTTTGTGTAATATCAAAAACAAACTTCGCTTTAAAGTAATATGACTTTGTATGAAATTAAACCATATCTGAAAGAGTAAAAAAAATGTATTTTAAAATATACTGTATATGTTTATTTCTTTAAAATTATATCATTCTATTATTTAAACAACTTTCATTAAAGAGCCTTTTACCTTTTTTTTTAGATATAAACTTTCTGATTATCTTCAGAGTAGCAATTATTCTTTTTATTTAACCACCTAGAGATTCTTTTTGAATCATACTGGTTATATTGATGATTTTATATTATATTCTTATATGTATCTTTTTCAGAAAATAAAAGTTTTTACTTTTATAAGCTTTAATATAAAAATTTCAAGTTGATAAATTTACAGGTTTAAAATGTAACAAATGAGTCTATTTTTTCAAACTTTATTTACAATAATAAGCTACATTAATTTTTATTCTTTTTGGATTTTTTATTACGATAATTTCACCACGCATATACTTTTTTCCTATTCCAATTATTTTCAAGTTGAAGTAATACATCTTCATACTCATATTCTGGAATTTTATCAGTATAACTACAGACCCCGCCAAAAGTCTCTGAACGCTTTTTGGCTCAATGTAAAACTTAAAATTTTATAGTTTATTAAAAAAATTTATTAATTTATTTATTAATGTACAATATGCTACACATTTGGACTAAATAATTAGTACTTGGTCAGGCCTTTATTTGCTTTATCACAGCCCGAATTCACTGTGACAAATCGCTTCAGCCGGCTTCGCTGCAAATCTTTAATTAAGGATGGTCGATCAGAATGAAGCCTCGAATTAACAGTTCTGGTGTCATCCATTCTTTTTAAAGTTCTAAATGCTGTTAAAAATCCACAACTGACATTTGCGGCAATAACCCAGTAACTATCGCCACATTGACGGCAAAATATATACTGCCACGTTATTCTTTGAACATTTTCGTGATTTTTAAAAGGTAAATTTTATTTTGGTTAAAAATCAAAATAAACAAACCAAACATGCTTTTATTTGGTTTTGATTCAAGCAAACAAGGTCAGGTACATTACATGACCGCAGTATTATATAATCATATGATATATTTGATATGAAATAGCTGAAAGATAACGTTTGGAGACTTTTGGCAGGATCTGTAGTAATTTTGATAAAATCTGCTCTTCATGTAATAATGCTCTTCATCTTTTAGAAGGATGTATTTTAGAATTTAATTGGTTAGGTATTTCTGCTGATTCTATTTATAATTGTGAATTGATATGAGATACTTTTTGCTTTTTTGTTGTTTTTGCTATATTTAGATATTTATGATACCATGTCCTTTTTACTTTAAGTGATCGTCTTCCAGTAGGATTACGTTTTTCAATTTTTAATACTTCTTGTAAGTATATTTTGTGAATTCATTCTAAACTATTAGAAAAACATGCAATAAGTTTTTCACAGCCTTCTTTATTCAATTCAGAAGGAGTATATTCATGAAAAATTGGATGTTTCAAGAGATTTTTCATATCAAAAATATCAACCAAATTATTTACTAATTTCCACAAAACTTCTTTTCTTGAATTAATAGCTCGTTGACTATGGGATACAGATATATCTTCCAAATATTCACTTAAAAGTAAGTCAATTCGTTCTCTTTCTGATTGAACTGCTTTAATATTTCTTTTAAGAATATCTTCATTAATGACATTACCAGTAACATTTTGTTTTATAAAGCGAACACCAAATGTTTCCAAAGTTTCGTCAAAAGCAAAACAAATATTTTGTGATAAATCATTACCATTATTGGAAGGAAGTTTAAATGCGCTAATTTCACATAAAGTCTGATTGAGTTTAGGATATTTAACTAAAATAGAAAGATGATGGGCAATTGCAGTGGTGTAATTATTTTTACCTGCACTTGCATAGAGTGGAGCTGCTGATGCTAAGCAGTCTCGTTGTAAATCATGATTTCCAATTCTTATTCCAACTTTGTGAGCTTTCCATATTCCAGCCCATTGAAAATATAAATACCAAATTTTAAGAATTATATTTTGATCATTCTTGCCATCCATTATTGAATCTAAAGGTATTTCTTTTTTTTTTATATAAATATTAATTGCAATTCCAATTGCTGTCTATAGAAGATTTAATACTCTTAATGTAGAACGATAATCAACATTTGCTTCTAATTTGTCAAAAAATTTGACTTTTAATTCACGTGCAAAATTGAATATACCATAGCTAGAAAATAATACAAGTAAACTGAACAAAAGTCTTTCAAAGTGTGCCATTGTCCAAGCAATAGTCTTAATCTAGACCATTGTTCCTTACATTTTATTAATTTACGAAATATTGCTTCATCTGCAATAATATCAAGAAAATCATCATCATTCAATTCAAAATCAGTTTTGTACATTTTTGCTGCTTCTAAAATTGTACTATCTGAATTTGGATTGTTTCCCAGTTCTAGAATTACTAAATTTGGTAAAGATCCAAAACATCCTAGTTTTAATTCGGAAAGTATCATTTTTTTAATAATTTTTGCATCTAAGTCTTGATTATAAATCAACTTATTATCTTCTATTTTAAAATCCAACAATCTTTTAAATATTTTTTGAAATATACTTAAAGCTTCTTGTGTATCTGAATTCATTCCAAATAATTGAGTCTTATCATTTAATTCTATTACTTCCAGAATTATGTCAAAGTTAGATGAAAGGTTTGCTTGTAATGCCATTCGTAATGTCGCGTGTAAAGTTTCTCGTGTAATATCATATATATTTCTAAAAGAAAAACTTTTTGTTTTAAAATCAATATTATCTATGATTCCAAGATTCCAAATATTTTCATTTTTTATTAAACGCTGAGATGGTATTACATTATCCATATGATTCTTCTCTTTATTTCATTCATGTCTCTCTGTGTGTCCAATTATATGACACATAGTTAAAAACTGGTGTAAAGAAGATATTAATCGAGGTTTTTGTCCTAAACTGGCCAAAACTGTTAGTAACCATACATTATATGAAGAAAACGCAATATTGGTAAAAATTGATGCCAAAAAGGTAACTATTTTAATAATCTTCAGTGTAGGTATTGCTTTGTGATATTTTTCATGACGTGTTCTTTGCTGATTGTATAATGTAATTTTTTTTTTATTATTTCAGTTACAAATTCAGATAAAAATGATGTTAAAAATTTTGGAAATGCATCATAATATTCATAAATTATTTTAGGAGATTCTAATAAATCTTTTCTACTTTTTATATCATTATGCGAATACCACAATTTTGAATCAAATAACCTTTTCAGACTATTAGAATTTTCTATTTCTTGTTGAATTAGCAAACTGATTTTTGTTTTATCTTTTTTGTAATTAAAAAGCATCTTAACCATAAATAAACTTAATTCAACTTTATTTTCTTTATTTTGTATGAAAGTAGTATTTTTGTTGAAGAGGTTATGAGAATTATTATTTTCAGAAGATGCAAATAGAGTATATACTTTAATTGCATTAACAACTGATATTAATATTGAATCTTTAGTTTGTTCATCTGCTATCTGTGAAATTTGTAACAGCCAATTAGCAACTAGTTCCAATTTACATGAGGTATCATTTTTATGTAAGCCATCTTATAAGCAATTTGAAACTTTTCGTCCTTTACCAAGACGTACATGAACATAATCACCATTCTTTTGGTAGCATTCAAGGCATATATATCTTGGTCTTTTAATATCATCTGATATTTGATAACAAAGAGAATCACATTCTCTTAATGCATTACAGTAAAATTGTTTATTACAAGGTATAAAAAGATAACGTTCATTAAAAAACTATAAATGATTTATACATCCTTTACTATGACTATAAGTTGTAAAATAATGTTCACACCCAAAGCAGCGATGTCTATTAATTATAGCAGTTTCATCATGATGCTTTTTTTGTTTATCTTTACTATTATGCAATTGATTTTGGTCATATAAAAAATGAGATTCACATACAGTTAATTGAAAATAATTCTTATCAACACTATTGACTATATCTCTATCTATCTGCCAAGTTCTAAACAAACTTCTTAACCTTCTCGGCCGATGTGTTGAACCACATGTTTGAATTTTACCTTTTAAATAATCAACAATTACACATAAAGTTTTCTTTCCGCGAGAATCATTAGCTTCCGTTGGAATAATTATTGATTCATCCTGCATAGTCTCACTCTCTTTCTCAAATTGATCATTACTAATATCATTCTCTTCTTTATTGAGTTTATCATTACGTTCAGAATATTCAGAATATGAAGTTGTACTACTAAAATCATTATCGCTATCTGTATTCACTAAGAGTTCAAACAAATTTTCATTATATTTGAACGGCTCTTCCTCATAATTGTCATCATAGTCATCACAGTCGAAATCTAAAACTAGCCCAAGTGTTTCACCACTACTGTCTAATAACAATTTTTAAAAAAAAAATATTAGTGGAAGATTTAAAGTTGATCAAATAAACTTAAGTTCAAAAAAAAACTCTTTTTTTGATAACTAAATTAACAGAAATTATTTATATTATATGGAAAAGGATCATCTGCTTCTTATTGAAAAAAGCTACTGGAACCATAAGGAAGAAAACTTTTACAACTGTAGTTATTGTTTTGTTCAACTATTTGCAAGTTTTTTTGAAACCTTCTCTTATTACTAGATTCTGCTGAAGTAAGTAACTCTTTTTTTTAGAAACAAAAGAAGAATACTTTATGTTACAGCTGAGGTAGCATTTTTCTTTATATTTTTATTTTGTATAAAGTTTGTTAAAATTAACCTTAGTCAATCCTTATTTCTTTATTGTCTTTTTCAACACTGGTTTGCTAAAAAAATATGGTTAGTTTACTTTCTGATTATATAAAACTACCAAGTAACCTTCTTTCGAACAATGTATAACTACCTATCAAGCTATTACATTTTGCTTTACTTAAGGACGTATATTATAAAATAAAAGTAATATTCAGAGTAAAAATAGTCACCGAAGTAAAAAAATTTAACGTTTCACTATTTAAATCATATGTAAATGCAATCTGCAGAGAAGTTATATAACATTAATTAAAACAAGTCAATCAGTTCACGTGCAATATTTCCACTGATTGTTATACATGACTATGAGATGTAACATCATCATCTAAATATGGAAGTACAAAATCTTGAATGCAGGTTGAGAGAGGGAGATACCTCACAAAGTGTTGTGATTTGTTATATGATGCAATCGTAGCTTATAAATCAGTACAGATTTCAATAGTAGCGTTAGGTAGTGATGAATATATTGCAGCTAGGATAGCAACTATTTCTGCTAGCATAGATGATGAAGAGTGTAATAAAAGTGTGGCGTTAAAGGAAAGTGAGAGTCAATTCTGATTAATTTGTAACCATGTGATTTCCATCTGGCAGTTAGAAGATCCTAAAGATATAACACTGGTCGAAGTGATAGAATATACAAAAAATTTATAATTCGAAAATGATAAGCATATTTGCTAATTTAAAAGTACGAATAATATATTTTAATTAAATTTGATCGGCGTTAAAAAAGCATCACTTAATGTATTTATAAATAAAATATGCAGTATGTGTAAGCTTAATTTATTCATTATATCCATCCTATCATGTATGTTTTATTCAAAGTTAATTCAGATATTATAATCGCAAATTACCAAATTTCCAATTAGGTAAATACATAATAAGTAAATTATTAAATCTGAAACCAAAACACTGCCAATGGTAAAATTTTTTAAACAATGCTATACAAAAAGCATGCTTCTGAAATTAACCATATACAAGATTAGCATAAACATAATATCATTAAACTGAAAACCTTCTATTTAATAGTATTATAGCTATCGAATCTGTTCGAGCATTCTAAGGACAATAATCTTTTTTTATAAATCGACATACAATTCGTTGAATTGGTATAATATTTTCATGTGTAAGTTTTCTTCTAATTAAAGGCTTCCATAATTCAACATGTCTTATACCATTTTGAACAACTCTGTCAAGGATTTTAGATAATCCTCGTCGTAGAATATTAAAATGATCTTTTTTGCTATATTTACTATACCAATCAACTATTGCCAATATATGTTCTGTAAGTCTATTTGGTAATGCTATTGTATGCTTAAAAAAATAACAGATAGTTGCTGGCCAGTATTCAAGATTATCTTCATTGTTTAAAAAAGCAACTATCACATTAGCATCAAAATCAGAACGACATAATTGTGACCCAAACCATTCATCAGCAATGTAAAGAGCAGATATACATATCATTGAAGATGAAACGAATATTGTATCTTTGTCTTGCTTTTGAATTCCAGAATAGAATTTGTATCTGAGGTCAGCATAAACCTGTTCATAATAACCAATTAAGCAGTTAATTAAAGATTTTCCCATTGTTATTTCGTATGTAGGAGGTATTAGTTTACCAGGAAATGATTCATAGCCACGGATATTTATTTGGTCTATATGAAAATATAAATTTCAGAAATACAATGCTTCTTGAATTGAAAAATTGTAT